GAGCATTTGACGAGATTGCGTACTTGGACAAGAGACCATTCTTTGATCACTAAGTACTTTGAGATTTTGGACTTAACTTTGTGTTTTTATTCAAAGCATTATAATATAATACAAAGACAAGAGAGATATGATGGTAGAACTTGATTCTAAGCTCCCAGACTTGTTTTTGTAATGTTTTATTATAAAATTGAGTTGAAYTTCTTTATTGTCCCTGCATGAAACATATATTATACAGCAAAAACCAAGTGTCAGGACATCCATTTTAGTGTTAAGACTCCTTGTCGAAATATTTACAAGGTGAATATTTTACCATATTTCAATCTGGGTGCTCTTAAAGGGCCATGGTCAACCAGCATTCAATGTGGTCATTTTAGATTTTTCACATATGGAAAATGTGGTGACTTCGAATTTCCATTCCATTTGCTATCCATCAGTTTTAGGATCAAATCTTACAATATTTCCATTCTTAGAGCATAAAGGGATAATAAAGAGTAATTATTTTCTTATATTACAATGTATTTTTATTTTCAAATACAAACGAAAGCTCTTAAGGGATGTCAGTTGACCTTGGCCTTTTTTGTTTTTCTATGTTTTTTTTTTCTTTGCCACACTGTTTGTGTGAGGTAAAAGCTTACTATATCATGAACACTACATTTAAAGGGACACTGTCAATGGCACGCATGCGCGAGTAAACTTGAAAACATTAGGCTAGTGTTTTCAAGTTTATGACTCCAAGTTGGCGCGACATAAATCAGCTCGTAAACGTAAACAGATCTAGAATATTCCAAAGTGTGTCAAAAGCACCACAAAATGATTGACCTCGAAGGTTATACTTTCACAGTCCGTTACAGGTTACCCTGCAAGCAGAGTGTATTTCCTTACCTCAATTTTTATTGAGGTAAGGAAATACACTCTGCTCGCAGGGTAGTTAGAGGTGAGACTGTTACTGCGCATGTCATCCATTGGCAGTGTCACTTTAAATAGACAAATATTATGTACTCCCTGATTTCCATTGGAAATCCTAGCCTCCTCCACAGGCATTTCTCTTCCTTTTCACTCTTGGGCTTCCTGTATTCACTCATTTTACTCTTGGGCTTCCTGTATTCCTCAATTTAACCTTTAAAGTCGACCTAGTTCCCAGTTCCTTCTTCCATTTTGAAAAAAAGCGAGCAGAGAAGCCCTGGGAACTAAGTTGTGTGAAAGGCTGTAAGGAGATGCCATAGGGATCCCAAAAGGGTAAAATGAAGTGTTGCAGAGGAGTCTAGGGAAATTCATTGAGTCAATTTAAGCCAGTTCAGAGTTTAATTACATTGTATATAGTTCCACATCGTCTTTTGATTTTAAAGTTTATTTTCCGTTATTGGTATATTCTGTTTTGTGTATTTGTATCTGTGTATACTAT